ACACACACACACACACACACACACACACACACACACACACACACACACCATGGCCATCATCAGACCACAAGTTTCAGAAACTTTTCCTTGGGCTATCTTCAAATTCCTAGAATCCGATCTTACCTGCGTCTTCCGTTTAGTTTACCACCAAGTATATTAAGGGCCTAATTTTTATCACGTGTAAAGTTAATCCTAAAATAAAAGAAGTTAGTTCCTACCTACCAGAAAACATGGGCTTCCCAATTCCTCGAATTCACCACAGGTTGACAGTTTCCCTTCCCACTTTGTATTGGGCCATCCTTCCAATGTAAATTCCCACTGATATATGACTTGCTCTGTACGTGCATAATCTTCTGTGGCCACCCTTAAACCTAATATACGAATGGGAAAGCTGAGCCACACAGGTGGCAACCGGGTGTGGACAACTGGGTGCACGCACTCCATTCTCCAGCTTCTATCGCAGATCATTGCATACTCCTGCTCCTGGCCGACCTCTACATAGACTCGAGAATCGCAGCACGTACCTGGTAACCAACAAAGATCGGCACACTTCTTGAGTAATGTAATAGATGTACCTGTAGTGCATCAGCCATGGCTCTAACGTGCCCAGATCTATGCTAAGACTATAGCCAGCGCCCAGCAGCTAAGTGTGTCTATTTGCTGCTTAAAAAGTTTAGGGAACGTGTGCTACGAGGACGTGCCGAAGCTCATGAAAAAGGCTGCTACAGGAGCCAAGAGGCCAGAGCGCCACAGCCTGGCGGTAATTGCTGTTAGTCTCCGAGCCTGCGACGATGCAGCTCGGCAGGAAGGTGTCTAAAGGGATGAAGGATGGGGCCACTTCCTGCAGACGAGGCTGGGCACAAGGGGACGCTTCCTGTAGACGGAGCTGGAGACCCAATAGCAACTTCCGGCTGTCGCTGTGCTCCTTAGGAGCCTGGTACCAGGCTGTGGTGCACCAGTGGAGCCAGGTCGTGATTTTCCTGCCCCTCACTTCTGGTAGAGACCAAACTCACGCACATTTACATAAATCGTTTCAACAAAAAACCTGTGGGATGTACCTGAGGGAGAGAGAGAGCTCTCGCTTGACATACCTACTGGGTTCAGTCCCCAACACTACGAAAGAAAAATTTTCCTAGACTGTCATCTATAAAGACAAAGCCGAGTTGACCTTTACAGGGTCTTGTGCGGATAATCAGATGGCTAAATACCCAACAAAGCCCCAAGGCGTGTATACAGATTTAAATGCGTGTGAAAATCCATGTATTCGAACGGAAGATCATGACAACCTGGAGTAGGTTCTCTCTTGCTATGTGGGTCTCAAGGATTGAACTCAGGTCGTCAGGCGTGATGGCAAGCGCCCTTATTGCCGGACCCACCTCCATAACCTTCGTATAAATGTTTTTTTTTTTTCCGAGCCCGTACATGTTTTGTAAATTCTTAGGACAACCTGGAAACGTTTTGTTCAGTAGGAATAATAGCTTTTGAATCACTTATGGAAATCAAAATGTAAGTTTGCACTTTATTTATTGGGCTAAGACAGTATAGAATTTTTTCCTTAGCAGCTTAAAAAAATACATTGTTCTGTGTGTTTATGATCGTCCACATGTACATGTGGGCACGGAGGCCAGAGGTCGATGTCAGAGGCTTTTCTCTATAACTCTTCACCTTATTTTTTAGACAAGATCTCTTATTGAATCCTGGGGCTCATTGATGCAGCTGTACTGGCTGCCAGCAAGCTCCAGGGATCCCCGACCCCAGGGGGATTATAGCTGTGCGTTACCATCTCTACCATTTTATATGGGTAGTGGGAATCTGAAGTTAGGTTCACGTGTCATAGGCATTTAATCAACTGAGCTTCTCCCAGCCCCATAAACATAGTTTATAAACATCCCAACCATGGTATTCCACTGTATAGGGTACAATAATTAACTATCCTCAACGCAGGTTTAGGTTATATTCTTTTTAAATAATCCTGTATGAAACATCATTCAAAAATCTTTATTTTTAAAAGCTTTAATTTTATTCAAAAATTACTTTGAAACTTAATATTAACTCTTTACAGACTGTTTACAATACTGTCAATATCACTATTTCCATAGAAAAGTATTCTCTTTACACTATCAATAATTATATTTTATGTTGCTTTAAATATATTTGTTGGGTAAATACTACACACACAAACTGACAAAAAGTAATGTACATTTAAAATTTTGATAGTTCTCTAATTGTTAAGGGCCATGCTGTTTAGGAGTAAAATTGGGAAGTTAAGAGAAAGACCAGGAAAAGAACATCACTTTCACACAAACAGTGACACATGATTAATCAATGCATAAAAGTATGCTCAACAGTAGAAATATAAAGCGTGTTCCAAAACAGGTGCTTTCTTCTGAGGTTTAGCAATTACAAGTGTTACAAATGCCTGTTACATGCACGTTTTGGTACGGACATGAGTTAAGCATCAAGGAGACTGATCGCATGCTAACACTGTTATTTTGGTGGTGTTGAGGACCTAACCATAGTCCATGCCATCAGTTTTTAAGGCCATAGGACTGCTGAAGTTGCAACTATCACATGCATAGTATGGGCAAAAGGTCAAAAAGAGGATCTTCTTGGTTCAGCCAGACCCTCTGTGCAGCTTTCCCCAACTTTGCTTAGAGTGTATCTTAGGCCAAAATGTTGACAAAGGAAGAAGAGGGTCCTATTTTGTGCAGAGCTAAGTGTTTGGCTAAAAGGGCTTGAAAAGGAAGATTAATGTCAGAATTGCACCTAACAGTCCTTGGCCTGTCCCCTCCTTAGCTGTGACTGGCTAGATTAGTTGACTAGATTCAGATTTAGTGATACCATGGATCTGTCTTGGACTGACTCTATCCTTTTCTATCAGACAAGAAAAATAAGCTTTTCTAAGTTGCTATTTATTTGTAAGCCAAGTGTAGTAAAACCAAGTTGTAATCACAAGGGTCCCCTTATCTTCCCAAAGTGACAAAACTTAAGAAGCCCTTTTCTTGGAGAAGTACACCCTGTACAATTACCAGCCATAAGCTATGTTCAGCAGTCTGGTGATGCACTTGGGAAGACTCCACGTTTACTATTTTCATCACTAGCGAGGCAGTCAATATGACATGACAACCATTATTATCTCTCCAAGCTGACTGATTTGATTTTAATGGTCAAAATGATTTCAAAGTAAGTATCATTTAAATTTGCATCACTTGTATCAAAAGGAAAAACCCCATATTCCTCCATGAGACATTCATTAAAGTGTCCTTCAAGCAGTCACTGTACTGGCACCGATGTTGCCCAGTAAGAAAGTTGCTGCTTAGAATAATTTAACACAGTTCATTCAAATGACTCAAAGTCTCTTGCATAGTTTAAGTAAAACTTTGATTTATAATTTAAAACACTGTGATATTGTGGTTAAAATGGGTAGGAAATGTAAAATGACATGCGCTAATCCTACGGGTAGGTTTTACAGTCAAACAGCAAACACTATCTTTGCTTTTAGAAATGCATTCATTGATGGTACAAGGGTAAAGTGGACATGAAGCCAGTGTGTGTGAACCCAATAGGTAAAAAATACTCAGTTAACTTATGTTAAGCAGACCCTTGAGAATGTGCATTTCCAAGCATTATTAGTGTGTGTGGGTTCACCAGTTTCTGTGGACTATAGTGTACAGGAGCCTGAGGCCAGAAGAGGGCCTCAGATCCCTGGAACTGGAGTTACAGGTGGTTGTGAGCTGCTATGCTATGGAGGTGCTAGGAACTGAAAATGGATGGGTCCTTGGCAAGAGCAGAAGGGCTAACTGCTGACTCGTCACTCTAGCTCCTTAGGATTTTTCTTTTCATATGTATGATGCTTGCATGTAGGACCGTGCGTGTGTATGGATACATGTGCACTTAAGATTATCATCAGGAGTCTTCCTCAATAACTCCACTAACCGTTCTTCAAACTCTCTCACCTGAGTCCAAAGTTTGCGAATACGGCTAGTCTGGCTACCAACTTGCTCTAAAGGTCCCCTTTCTGCCACCTGAGGGGTGGGATCTCAGGCCACAAGCTGGTCACTATACTCATTTGACTTTTCATGGGTCCTGGGGATCCAAAACAGTCCTTACACTTGCATAGCAACTTGGTTTTTAACCACTGAGCCATCTCCCCAACCTTCATTAATTTTATTTTTTAGGAGCCTGTTGCTACAGTACTTGCAAAAATAGAGCAGCTTGATCTTGTTCTGTATAAATCTATAGGCACTTGACTTGCTGATTTTAAAAGACTTCATTCATACATAAAGCTAATTAAGAGATAACTAATCATGTACTTATCACATTGAAAGCTCTGAGAAGTTCTGTAGTGAATAATTGCTTAACTCTGATTTCACTATTAGGGTAGAATTATTATACTCTAATTATGGCTTTAAGTAAAGCCAAGAGAGGAAAACAATGGAGGCAAATGGGTTCCAAGAATACTGAAGCTGCAGTGACTTTTTTTTTTTTTTTTTTTTTTAGAAGCACTGTTTGTTTATCTCAATATAACATTCCGATATTTCAAACAGAGAACCTCATCAAGCCAGTTTGCTTTTATGGTGATGTCTCTGATGCTGAAAGAGACCAGACTTCTGCCTGAAGGCTTCATTACATTCACTACACTTGTAGGGTTTCTCTTCATTGTGGATTCTGACATGCTGATCTAGGTGTGAATTTAGACGGAAAGCTTTCTGACACACATTACATTTGAAAGGTTTTTCTCCAGTGTGAATCCTGTGATGTCGAATAAGGTCGGAGGTCAAACTGAAGGCTTTCCCACACTCGTTACAGTGATGTCTTTTGGAACGACCATGGACTCTCTGATGGTGGGTGAGGAAAAGGGCCCGACTAAAGGTTTTCCCACACTCCTTGCATTCTCGGGGCTCATCTTGACTGTGAATTTTTTGGTGTCGATTAAGATGAGAGCTTCGCCTGAAGTTTTTTCCACAATGGATACACAGATAGGGTTTTTCTCCAGTATGGATCCTGAGATGCTCCAAAAGACCTGCATTCTGGCTAAAGACTTTTCCACACTCTTTGCACTGGTAAGGCTTCTCACCAAGATGGATTTTCTGATGTCTGATGAGGTGTGAACTTCTCTGAAAGACTTTACCACACTCTTGGCAAGGGTGACCTTTCTCTTTCGAGAGTTCCTGATGGTCAGCAGCAACAGAACTCTGATACACTACAGAGTCACAGGACCTTTCTCCTGTATGTGCCCTGTCATGTTCAGTCAGGCCTGAGTTCTGAACAAGTCTCTCTGTAGTTTCCAAGCATTGGCTGTTGGTTTTCTCCTCGGGCATGGCTGGATACTTTTTCAAGCTCAGGTCCTCACAATGGGCCTCGATGGGTTCAGACACTGTATAAGATGATTCCACCCTTCCACAGGAGTCTGTCTCTTCCACTCTTCCACAGGAGTCTGTCCCTGCAATGAGCTTCCCATTCTCACTCCTTGTCTCTTTACCTGAAACATTGAATATATATATCACTAATTATTTTTTGGTGTTCAGGGAAAGGAATCTGCAAATAGAAGATATTAAATAAAACCATGTATATAAATTAAAAAAATTGTTATGTGTGTTTTATTTGTATGTATGTATGTATATACACAACACGTATATAGTGCCAAGGAGACCATAAGAGGGTGTCCAGTTCCCTGAAACTGGAGTGACAGATTGTTGTGAGTTGCAATTTGGATGCTGGGAACTGAAACCAGGTCCTCTGTAAATTTTTTCTTAAGAGATGAGACATCTCTTCAATCCCCACAAAGTAAAAATAAAAAAAAAAATTGCTTATGATTATTTAAAATATATGTATAGAGTGGTTTACGAGAAATTGTGGTTTTGTTTTTTGAGATAAGGTTTCACTATGCAAAATAACCTGGCCTAACCTAAACCATGCAGCAATCCTCTTCTCTCAGCCTCTCAAGTCCCAGAATTACAGTCATGTGCCAGCACATTCAGCTTGACATCCAAGAATTGTTAACCAATTGGCTTTGGGGAAGAGTAGGGGTTGTGATGGGAGGTAATTTACTTTAAATTTATTTTAAATGTTCTAAATTTATTATATGATATACATGACACACACAGAAGCTACTAAGCATGGCTACATATTCTTGATCATGATTTGTCACCTGGGAAACAAAAAGCACCATAAACTAGGTCACCTGAGGACTATCAAGTCAAACAGGGAAGGTACTCTGACAAATGAAGATGTGTTGGCATAGTGCCAATTTTATCACTGAATAGTATGCAATCTTGGAAATATTGTTTAAGTCCTATCAATAAGTCAACAGTACCAGGACCATAAGACCTTGAGAATAATCATTCACAGAAACATCATGTTGAGATATGAAGTGTTCCCCTCAGAGGGGAACAGCAGGTTCCCTATCCTACTCTAATGTTGCAAGGTTTTCTAATACTGAACAGGGAAGCAGGCAGCAGAGGGAAGCTTTAGAAGTAACACCCAGTTAGTAGTAGGTACTGTTTACTCAAGGTCAGGACCTGGAACAGATTCAGGGCACAAAACCTGGCTCTTTAACTATGGAAAGAGAGAAAGAACCCAGAAACTGGAAGGTAACTTCCCATGAGAGCACAGGCTAGGACAATGACCCAGGCAGTGAGTGAGTGGGGAGCTGGAAGGAGGAATAGGTGAATGAGGCAGTAGGGACCCAGAAGAGAGAAACTGGAGGGAAATGGGAATGAATGGCCGATAGAGTGCCGGTGAGTGGGAGGCACAGCATAATTCAGTATTGCCTGCAGGGAGGGGTTGCTGTATCTCCCTGTTCCTCTTCCCAAAGTGGCCATAGTCCTTCACGTAAAAAAACAGGGCCGGGCGGTGGTGGCGCACACCTTTAATCCCAGCACTTGGGAGGCAGAGACAGGTGGATTTCTGAGTTTGAGGCCAGCCTGATCTACAGAGTGAGTTCCAGGACAGCCAGGGCTACACAGAGAAACCCTGTCTTGAAAAACCAAAAAAAAAAAAAAAAAAAAATAGCATTACCCCATTCACTAAAGGATCTAAGCAAGGGGAGACATCAATACACTTGTATTCAAGTGACAGAGAAGAATACAAGGTAACTTAGTGAAAGTATGGAAGACACTGGAGAGTTCAAGGCTAGCTGATCTACACAGCTATAGTAGAAACCAGCCAGAGCTACACAGGAAGATCCTGTTTCAAAAAAGAAGAAAAGAGAGAAACACTAAAAGTAAGAAGCAGAACAGTAATAAAGCAAAGAAACTGACCTTGACCCTTAACCCCACCCCACCCCCACCCCCAGCACTGCCTGTCACAGAGACATGAAGGAGATAGGAAAGGGGATAAGGAAACTCTGCTCGAGATTCTTTGCCTCAAGGAAGAGCAATAGGTAGGTCCAGCTCCACTTCTCCAGGGTATGCTGTTCATTCAAATTGTTTAGAGTTGTAGATCTTTTAAATCTTGACTGTGCTTCTAAGTTTATTGTATCTACAAAAACAAACAAACAAAACAACCAACAACAACAACAAAAAAAACCAAAAACCTCCAGTGACTACTGAGGCTACAGTGTAGATTGTGTATACAAATTAAGCCACAACAGACCTGATAAAAACAAACACCAAAATGCAAAGGGTGCCAAGGCAGAGACACTGCATGGCCTACCATAATTCAAACGCAAAAAGATAACATTTTGTTCTGACCTCTCTCCTCAGGCTTCTGAACTGCATACCCAGGCTGCTCCCGTGCTTCTCTGTAAAAGGCTGGCACTGCAACCAACACAGTCGGTCTGGTTTTTTGGGCTGAGTCCTAGAGATAAGTACAGATAATTAGGAAACTGGTTTACAAAAACACTTCAATGTCAGAAAAGAGAACAAAGAGAACCTTTAAAGAGGCTAAGAGGCACAATGGAGAGCCTCCACACACTTCAGCCTCACAGGGGATGACAGGGGTGAGGCGAGGCTGACACTGACCAGCAGTGAGCAGTGCCCTGCCCACTGCTGTGCTCATGTCCACCTATGTGACCTGGGGGCTCACTTCTTACTTTCCTGCAAATGGGCACCTGTACCCCTTACCTTCTGCTCTCCTGCTTTTCCACGGTCCAGCTGCAAATCTTCCAGTATTCCCACCAGTTCCTCCCCAGTCTCTGGGTGGTGCTCGAGCACCTGGACCTGCAGATCTCTTGGCAGGATGGTCAGGAACTGCTCCAGTACCAGCAGCTCCAGGATCTGCTCCTTGCTGTGGGTCTCAGGCCGCAGCCACTGTCTGCAGAGCTCCCTGAGTCGGCGTAAAACCTCTCGAGGTCCAGTGCTTTCCTCATAGCGCAGCTGCCTGAACTGTTTGCACAATGGCTCCTGCCCAACGCCTTTTCTGTCCCCTTGAACTTTGAATCCCTGTTCCCAAGCACAGTAGTTTTAACAGTGGCTTAAAGCACAGTTTTGGATCTACAACTATATCTCCTTTGCTACCTTAAACTTTGAGTCAGGTTTCTACTCAACTCTGCACGTACACCCTCATCATTTAAGAAATGTCTTGCTGACAACTGGTGAACAAAGCTTGATAGTCCCTAGTTTCTCTAGCCTTGCTAGTAGCCTCACTCCTCTTTTCTTTTTCCTTTTGTGATGAACTCTTACTATGTGGCTCTGACTGGCCTGGAATTTGGTATATAAACCAGGGTGGCCTCACAGAGATCTGTTACTGAGTGCTGGGATTAAAGTCCTATACAACCACACACAGCTTCTAGTCCCCTTTTAAGGCTAACATCACCAAGATAAGAATAAGTTATTTCCAAGACACCAAGAACTCTGCAGACAGATCACCCATGATGGGATTTACTGACCAGCATTGGCTGCCTCAGCCGTAATGACTTTGCTGGAGGTATCAATACCTTATAGAACCAGCAAGAAATAATGACTGATCAATTTGTCCAAGACAGATTGACAAGGACTGCTATTTGTTCCCCTTCATCTCAGCTTTTGTCCTTTCCCCATTTAATTCTGAGTCAGGGCACTGAAGATAGGACTAAGCACACTGTCTTCCTGTTTCTTCCCAATATGGACTTGCTAAGTAACTGATTCTTATCTTGTTTCACTACCACGCATCTCTCTCACTGGACTGAGTGACAAGTCACTAAATTTAGTCTGTTAGGACCCCCCAAGGCCAGACCTCTGATACCATGAACAATAGTGATTCTCTCATTACCTGAAGCTCCTCCTTCAGATTCAGGGGAGCCAAAGAGTATGCACGCTTGTTAGGGTGGATCTGGGAAGAGGTATGCGTGGGAACAGAATATGATCAGAACATGTTGAAAACTCTCAAAGAAGTTAAAAAAAAAAGAAAGAAAGAAAAGAGGAAGAACACACATGAACACACACTCACCAAGGCCAGTGCCATCCCTTGCTTGAGGCACTTTGTTTTGGAGACTTTTCTCTAGACTGTATCCTGAGAGATACTCCTAAAAACACAAGTCACAGAAACAGCTGTGCTAGTAGTAACAACAGCAACAAGTGATCTTTCCTGAGGGTTGTTTCCTTCTAGCCATTTGTGATCTCCAAAGCAGCTACTCCTAAGAATATATAAGCAAAGTGAGAAAACTTTTATAGGTTGCCACCCAAACTAGAAATTGAAATAGATAAAATTCTCAAATGATGCAGTTGAGAGCCACAAATGAATGCTAAAACCATTGGGTGACAAGAAGGAAGAACAGAATGTTCTCAGTGTGGTGTTAACTACTCCGCTTTGTATCAATAAAGAGAAAAATAAAAGTATCTGGCAGTTGCAAATGTAACCAAATGACCAAGTGTAGCAGCATCAATAGTAAGGCACCAATACCAAGTACCCTATTCCCTATGGAACACTTTTAATAGATATTATTTATCATGAATTTACTGAGAAACTTTCTGAAAAATCCAGAACTCAGTCCATCTACATAACAGGCATCAATCCAATTTCACCAAAGCAAAAAAAAAGATATATATTTGGAGGTTATTGTTCTAGATTAAAAAGACACAGCTAAGTGAAACACTTGAAATCTGATGCTTGCATTAAAAACAAAACACCAAACATTTACAGCAGATACGGTACTTCAGGTCTATATCCCAACACTCCAGGGGCTGAGCTAGGAAGCTTACAACCTAATAATTAAATTTAAAAGCCGTTACTAGTATTTGTGATGTGGTCTGAGCTGAAACAACCCTCTCACCCCTACCTCTCAAGTAGCAAGGATGTGAGGGGCTCGGAGCAGCATGACCTATTAATAGAGGCTTGAGAAAATCCAAGGAAGTCATATTTATTGGTCAGAAAATATCAGGGTAGTACTGTGGTGCTTAGTTTATAACTCACCATGAGACACGGGTGAAAATATTTGGTCAAAATTATTTTGGATTTAATATTTAATTTAACAGACTATAGACTGAGTTAAAACAGGCTATCCTTCATAATGGAGTAGGCCTTGCCAGATCAATAGAAGATCTGAGAACAAAAGGACTCATCCTCTCACAAATAAGAGTCAGACTTCCTCTCTAGTAGATTTCAAGTCAGATACTAGTGTTTTATTTTCTTCAGCTCTGAAGTGAGAACTCAGTTCTTCTGGATCCTAAGTCTCTTGCCTTCAGACTCGAACTAAATAACCAGCTTTTGTGGGTCACAGGTCTGTTTGGCTTGCACTACAATGAAATTATTTGCTGTTCTGTTTTTAGCTTGCTAATTCTCTCTGAAGATCTTAGGACTTGACAATCATGAGGCAATCCTTGTAATAAATCTTTGTCTTTTTCCCTACTCTTTTTAAAATTAGCATTTATTAACTATGTATTTTGATCAGCTGCCCCCTCCAATGATCCTCTTCCCAAACAATTTTGAACCATCATGTTTTCATTTTAATAAATTTCTTTTTAGACATCTGTTGACCAAAATCAATATAAAAATCGATCCTATTTCTTTAAATGTATCTCATAAAGGGGCTGAGGAAGATGGCTCGGTGGTTTCTTTCAGAGAATACAGTGGGGCTCCCTGAACCTCTTCTGGGTGGCTCACAACACCAGTGACTACAGCACCAGGAGAGCTGAGTACCTTTCTGGCTTCCAAGGACTATTGTACCAGAGTGCATGTACCTATACATACATACATAAAGAATTTAAAAGCAAATCTCTTTTTAAAGGCAGTTAAGAGCTCTGATATAGGCGTAACACATAAATTAGTGGTGTCTCAGTTCTACAATGTGATTAAATATATATACACATGGTAGTTTATCCCGACTTTGGAAGGAGCTCCAGCTACCTTGACATTTAAGCCTGAAGACTGATCATTCTCTCCCCCCCCCATTCATATTGTATGTATATAGTTAATCAAGTTCTTTTTAAAAATGTGTATGGATGTCTTGCCTGGATGTATGTCTGTGCATTACATGTGTGCCTGAAGAGAGCCAGAAGAAGGTGTAGATCTCTTGAATTTGGAGTTACCAGGTGGGTGTTGGGATTTGAATCTGAGTCTTCTAGAAGATCCAATAGTGCTCTTAACTGCTGAGCCATCTCTCTGGCAGCCCTGAGTTCTTTTGGTTCTACAGCTTCATATCCCTCATACACACCCTTCTTCTATTCTCTTGATAACATGCTCTCCCACTCAGAATACTTGAACTCAGTGGTTCTCAATCTATGGGTTGTGACCCCTTTGGCAAAGATGTCTCCAAACATACTTACATTACAACTCAAAACTGCTGCAAAATTACAGGTATAAAGTAGCCATGAAAATAATTTTGTGGTTGGAGATCATGACACGAGGAACTGTATTAAAGGGACACAGCATTAGGAAGGTTGAGAACCACTGCTCTAAAGCTGGTCTTCCTGACACCAATTATTTCCCACACTGAACCCGAGATCTTCTTAAGGGGGAAGGGGGAAACGAAGCCTGCTGCACACAGCAAGTTGCCATCACGATCAAGTTTAAAACATGTAATATGGTCTAAATCTTTCTTATGCTTCAACGACCAAACTTGTGTTACGTTTGTTGTTGTTTGCTCTTGGTTCCTTTTATATGCCACTCTAACAAGGAAAACCCCTTAAACTTTTTCTTCTTGTTGATGAGTCACAGCTCAGGTCACAACCAACAAGCCAACAGAGCTGCCCCACCTGTGCTTCCCTGGCTTATTCAATCTCCACAACACCCAAGAACCACCTTCAACCTTATACTACAGACGGAACTTGGTGAGTCGAAGAATTTATGATTTTACACAGGTTTCAAAGCTGATCTTCAGGGTTTTTTGTTTGTTTGTTTTTTCTTTTTTTTTTGCCCCCCCCCCCCCCCCGGTTTCTCTCTGTAGCTCTGCTTGTCCTGCAATTTGCTCTATAAATCAGGCTGGCCTTGAACTCACAGACATCTGCCTGCCTTTGCCTCCCAAATGCTGGGATTAAAGGCGTGCACCACCAACACTGGACTGAACTTACTTTTGATCGCCCCACCCCTCCTCTTTTTTTTAAATATACAGATCCAAAATTGTGAATTTATTTTTTCCCTTCTCTCTTGTGTGAGTGCATCTGATCCAGAAGCAAAAGCTGTGGGATCCACCTAGCCACAACTATCACAACAGTCAGTCTCCATTTCCTGCCAGATTTCCTGCCAGTTTTCCTTTTTCCCAAGGATCTCACTCCCTAGTCAACAATGGGCAATTCTCCTCCCAAGTGCTAAGATTATAGAAATTAGTCACTATGCTCACATGAAGGTTTTTAATTGCACTCAACTTTGATTTGCAACCCATTCTTGATTTCGTTTCTGCCCATCCTTCAATCTATCCACATCATGGATGTCCAATTACAAAACCTGTCAGAGTATGTCCTTCTTTCACCCCAAGACCGAGTTTCTCACACAACCAATGCCCACTTTGTCCGTATACTTATCCTTTGTGGAAATCTTATTCACTGCGCTGGAAATACCCTCTTGCTCTCGTTATTCCCTAAATAAGACAGACAGGCTCCCGCTTTAGGGCCTCGATATTCGCTGTTCTCTCACGTATGCCTTTTAAAAGCGGCCTACGTCTACCCATCTACTTCGGATTATCTACTCAAATATTCTATTTACTTACAGTAATAAAAACTACTTAAACATGTCGAAGCCATGTGTGGCAGCGCCACCTTAAGAGCTCAGAGCTCGGAGGTGGAAGGATAAACAGGGGTTCAAGTCAAGAGTATCCTCCGCCACATGATGAGGCCAACATGGGCTTCATGAAACCCTCTCAAAAACAAACAACAAAAATCAAAAAAAGAAAGGAAAAGGGAAAAAAAAACCCTCACAACAAAATAAAGGCAACAGAACCTAGCAGTGTTGGCAATCACAGCATTAGAATGCTGAAGCAGGAGATATTCTGGAGTTTGCGGTCAGCTTGAGCTACACAGTGTGTTCCAGAATAAGCCTGCGCAACAGCAGGAACTGCCAAACAACTACGTCCTGAGCTTCCTCCCTCTCCCACGCCCCGTAGCTTCTGTCACGCACCAGCTTCTGGTCCTCCCAGCTCCAAGGTGTGGTGAGTTTCTGCGTATCAGTCAGACCTGCGGCTCGACAGTCCCAAGTTTGCCGTTCTCTCTCCGCTGGAACCCGATCACTGTACGTGCTCTCGCCCTGGCCGCAGGGTCAGTCACACGTCTCTCAAAGTCGGTGTTCCAGCCCAGTAGCTTCCGGCTCCGCTCTAGGAAGATGGGAGGACCAGGACTCAACTCGGTGGTGTCCTGACTGGGTCCAAATTGAAACATTTCGTTTACAGAAAACAGACCATTTCATTTGTTTTCACACACAGACGTCATCTCTATCACTAGAATAACAAAGCTCGGGCTGTAATCACAGCCACCAACAAACAGGGATTGAATCTTTAGGTTGGGCTTTAGCCAAAAGCTGGCATGATCATGTAAACTGAATTTAAAATGACTACTCCAAAGAAGTCACCTTAATACCTCATCTCAAACCAGCAGTTTTCTAGAGAACCAAAGTTAATGATTAGTGCTCAAGTTTATTCTTCATTTCCCCACCCTTTCTCCACCAAGTTCCAAATCTCTTATCTGTGCCTTCTTTATCTTGTTTGGCCTGTGTGTAGGGTTTAGAATTTAGAATTCCATGATCTTTGAAGAGAAGATGGGTCAAGATGTGCCAGTTTTCTTTCTAAAGTGTGTATTAGTGTGTGTGTGTGTGTGTGTGTGTGTGTGTTGCTGCTGCAGAAGTTCACTTTGTTAACTTATGCTTTTATCTTGTTTGACTTCGAACCTAGGCAGCCAACAGAGCTTAGTCTGGTTAATACCTGGTGGTGTCAGTTATGTTCTCTGCAGTCCTTTAAGCCAACGATGTGTAAAGTTAACTCAGAATAAACAGGGCATTAAGATGGTTTGTGTGCAGATTAGCTCAGAACAAACAAATCATTTGTTTCAGTCCTTCCTATAGTGTCTAACACAAAGTCCCCTACCATCCTCCCCACCCCTATAATCGCCGCTTGTTAGACATTTACTTTGATAAATAGGACATAGTTTGAAGTTCATCTCCAGTCATTTGAATGAGAACGCACAATAGAATGCCACCCTTTTCGTGTAAGACTTTTGTAAGCCTAAAATTCTCATGGTAGGAGCAGATGTCAAATCCCCTTTCAAAGGTTCAAAACCCATAAATATTTCTGGGTCTATTCAAAACTTCATAAAGGGGCTTAGCTGTGAGATCAGAAATTGGGATCAAATTCTACAGTAGCCCAGGAATATGTCCAATAGCCTGAGAATTGCAGATTTTTGTTCCCCATTTGTCTAATTGTCAGTTACTTCTTTCCAAGCAGGCTCTTTTTTCCAGGTTAAAGGAAGAAACCCAGTAATTCCTCAGCCTGCTGACAGATTTGGGCCTTGCAGGCTAATAGTCCTGGTAAATAGTTTAAAGTCTCCTAGTTTCCATATCCTGGAAGTCATTGACATCCTGCTGCAGCATGTTCTCTTCCAATATCAGGGCTTTTAAATCTTAACCCAGAGAGATGGTACAGATGTGAAGAGCCTGGCTGCTCTTCTAGAGGACCCAATTCACCACAGTCAGGCTTTCAGCTTATAACAGCCTACAACTCCAGCTGCAGGATATCCAGTGGTTCTTCTGACCTTCTGCAGCAGTAGCACGTGTGTGTGCGCGCGCGCACACACACACACACACACACACACACACACTTTAGAAAGAAAATTGGCACATCTTGATCCTTCTTCTCTTCAAAGGTCATTAAACTCTAAATTCTAAACCCCACCCTTAGGCCATCTAATCCTCCAGAGTACTAGCATCTGTACAATTTAGAATTGTAAACTTTAAGTCTGGTTCCAGCCATTCAAAGATGAAAAGAATCCTCCGATTCTAGTAACAAAAACCTGAGGAATATTATTGGCAATACATGAGTATATTACCAATAAGTCCTATTTCAGAAATTAACCTAAAAAAATCTTATTTTGAGAAAATTTGAATTACCCAACAGATTCCTTTTCTTTCCCATTAGCTCTTAGTTAGCTCCTCAGATTCCTAGATTTCAGGATTATTTCAGTTGGGATCTCACCAGGCCATACCTAGCAGAACCTTCTTTCAAAATGAATTACCAGGATTGATCTAAAGGAGCAGTTCTCAACCTGTGGGTCCTGACCTCTTTGACAAACTTCTATGTCCAAAAATATTTACATTATGGTTCATAACACTAGCAAACTTACAGTTATGAAGTAGCAATGAAAATAATTTTATGGTCAGGAATCACCACAACATGAGGAACTGTGTTAAAGGGTTGTAGCACTAGGAAGGTCAAGAACCACTGTTCTTGAGAAACCTGCAGATGCTGCTGCTGGTCTTCTGGGAAAAAATTGATTAGTAGTACTTTGTGGTATCTAGGAATTTGGAATATAGAGGAATCTGTGAGTCAACTAGCTTCCTGGGCAACTAGGGATTTTAGTCTTCTTCCTTTCTGGCCTTGTTCCACACCCGCCCACCCCTTCATGATTGACTTTACAATAGGCTTGCTGAAGATCTTTAAATTGTTTTAAATGATTTATTTTATGTGTGTGGGTATTTTATCTTCATGCCTGTCTGTGTATCAGTTGCTGCTAGGTGCTCATGGAGGTCAGGAGAAGGCATCAGATTCTCTGAGATACAGGCAGTGGTGAGCCACCATGTAGGTGCTATGAATCCAACTTGGGAGGAACAGCCAGTGGTGCTCTTAACCACTGAGCCATCTCTCTGGTCCTGCAATGAAGATCTTCTAAAGCCTTATCGTCGTTTCCTTAGATTCCCAAAGTCCTTTCTTCTTGGGAGACAATGGAGGTCTGACTCTTACTGAGCTCCTGGTTTTACACACTGTCCACCAACAAAGAAGGCTCATGCCCACACTCTTCCCTACTTTGGATTTTCTTCCTAATGTCAGAGATACTTTGTGAAACAGATCATCCTCACCATCATGACGGTTTCCAGGGCTTTGGGATCCATATTGGCAATTTCTGATACAACTCATAGAATTGTTTTAAGAATTTGCATGGTCTTCATTGGATTTTTATTATACTGTCAGAAATGTGTGTAGTCCTAGATTTGGGCCCCATTTTAAGGCCATTGAAGATACATCTCCAATATCTTTCCATATGTTGTTGCCCAGTTAGATTTGAATTTCAGTTATCTTACTGTCTTGTGGCTGGAGAAACAGTCCTGGTACCCAGTTTCCTCCTCTGGCGTTATCCAGTACTAGCCTTGAGAAGAGGCTGGGCAGGGCCTGAGTGCCTCCCCAGTCAGGTAAAACATAGCAAAAATGGAGCTCAGGAATCAGTCTCCCTTGTGTGATCATCCAAGTAAGATGGCCCTGAGTCTTTCCAACTCAGGATGTTAAAGGTAGAAAGGGAAGTGTGGCCCTAGTAATGCCCCAATGGCTGTTCATCTTGGCCTACACCTAGAGGGAGATTTTTACATTTTTACTTTATTTAATGTGTGTTTTATACAAGTATTTGTTTATGTGTGTGTGCACTGTAGAGGGAAAAGTTATGGATACTGGGTATATAGAATCCTTTTTAGACATAAAATATTCTTTAGGCTTTCTTTACAAAGACATGGAGGCATAAAGCAGGTTGGAAATGTGGACAGACTGGCTAGAATGCAATTTAGCCAGGTGTAACCAAGCTGAGAACCATAGTGACAGGGCAAGGCCGAAGTAACAGGGCAGGACCACATTCTTGGGAAAGATAAGCGTACAGAGAGTTTTCACCTGATCCTGACTCACGTAGGTTGGGTTCCTTTGGAATGTTCCACTATTTTTATGTTATACCACCCTAGCAACCCCCTCACCCCCTTCCCATTCCTTGGTTTGTGGTTTTTCCCTATAAAAACTCCTTTCAAACTGGCTGTCGGGGTCAATTCAGCTCCTGCGTGGGCATACGAATTGACCGGCAGCTAGTTGTCACGCCCTAATAAATAACCTCGCAATTGCTCCGGTACGTGGTGTCTCGAGCAGATTACTGGGTGGTCGCGACTTTCTGAGACTTGAGAGAGGGTCTCCTCTCTGCGGAGGTCTTCATGCACATGTAAGTCACAACATGCATATGGAGGTCCGAGGCCAACTTCTAGAAGAGTCTTTTATCTCTTTACTATGTGAAGATTCAACTTGGAATCAGTGTGGAGATACTAAGGTTGATACCTGATATTAAGCACCTTGATGCTAAGGTTGTAGTCTACCATGTCCAGACAGCTTTCCTGAGCTCGGTGAGAAATGGAGGACTCCCTTTTCTTGAAGTGGCGTGGGCTTCCTCTTCTCTGTCTGATCTGGGGAGTCCAACCCCCAATCTTCTACCTGAGGAATGCCGCATAGTCCTTGGCAAAATTACAGGTTCAACTTCTTCCCTCCAGATAAGAACCTGCTCAGCAAGGGTCTGGGATTCTTGGAATGCCTCTTTGTGCAAATGAGGCATTCCCAGAACTTTAAGCCTCACTCTAAGAACCTCTCTTCACTCTCCGAGGTTCATGAATATAGCCCTTGATTCACACCAAATAAGGTGTATGCGCACAAGCTGTTTCACTGAATCATTGAATATCATCTAACACTAAAATCCTCAAGAAGGCTTCTGCTCCCCAGTGCTCCCAGCTGGATCAGGATCCTGCAGACCCCACCTTTTCTTTTTCCAGCTCTGCAGTCCAGCATTGTCTGAACACCCCGAGTGAGGAAGTAGAACTCAGAACCACAGGGAGAATTCTCAAAAAGCTAAAAATCTCCCAGGTACTGCCTCACACTGCCAATCACACCACCACACTATTGTAATGTTTTCTGTTCTTTTTTCTCTACTTCTATAATACCTCTCTCTCTCTCTCTCTCTCTCTCTCTCTCTCTCTCTCTCTCTCTCCCTCCATCCTTTCCTCCCTCCCTCCCTCCCTCTGTGTGGGTGTGTGTGTACATACTGAGAGAAGAAGTCAGCCTCAGATGTTATTCCTCAGGAGCCGTTCACTTTGTTCTTAGAAACACATTCTGTAATTGTTTCTAAAGTCTCAAGGCTTGCCAATTAAGCTGAGCAGCCTGGCAGTGAGCCTCAGGGATCTGCCTCCTTAGTGCTGGGATTCAAAAGTACACCACCATGTCTGGCTTTATGCCACTGTTAGGGTTGAATTTAGGTCCTCATG